CAGGTACTAACGAATAAGCACCTGCTGTGTGCCTGACACTGTTCTGGGCACTTTGGTAGCGAGGCTCCACATGGCTCCCCAAAATCTTTACCTTTGGGTACTCATAGCCCTTTGTAGTCCAGTCTTATATCATGCTACAATTAGTCTGTTTGGTGAGTAGAATATGGCAAAAGATATGGCGTGTCATTTGAAAGATTAGATTGTAAAAGACACTGTTGGCTTCTTGGTAGCACATATTCTCTCTTGGATCCTTCATTCTAGGAGAAGTTAGCTGCCATGTCCTGAGTTGCCGTATGGAGAGGCTTATATAAAAAGGATCTGGAACCTTTAGTTTACTGCTGGCACCATGGAGTGAGCTTGGAAGTGGATCTTCTAGCTCCCATTGAGCCTTCTGCTGACTGCTGACTGGGGGACATCTGACTGTAGCATCATGAATGACCCTGAGCTGGGATTTCCCCATTAATCTACTTCTGGGTTCTCAACCCCCAGAAATTGTGTAATGTAATAAATACTTGCTGTTTTAAGTTTGGGGGTAGTTTATTACTCAGCAAGTGAAAACCACTAGAGTACTGCATAATTCAGTCCTCACAATAATCCTCAAGGGTGAAGTTTGTTTCTCCCACTTTAAGGTGAGAAAATGGAGGCTGAGTCAAGTTGCAGTGGCGGCCACATCTGGAGGGCAGCAGAGCCAGGATGCCCCCAGCTTCGCCCCCTGCTTCACCCCCAGCTTGGTATGGAAGCTTGAGGATTTGGGGGCTGGAGGAGGAGGAGGTCTTTTTCTCAGATATGCTTTCTCTCCCTTTTATGTTTCAACCCTGTAGGTTAGCATCTACTGCAACTGCAGCAGTGTTTATATCATTCAGAGACAAAAATGTTTACTGGAAAAATTGGAAGTTTTAACAGGGGGATTCCTGAGTGACCTTAGAAAAGTTCCTGCCCATTTCTTTCTCTTCTATGCAGAGATCCTGCCTTCCTTACCAGGACGATCAAGTGGTAGGGGACTTAAATACGCCAGTGTCGTGATCATTCCAGGTTTGTTTGAGTAAGTCGCACCTCTGGCGCAGGGTTCTCCGGCCTGCCGGAGGCATCTTCACGCAGCCCCTCTGGATAGCACGGCCCCTCACCTCTCCCCGAGGGAAACTGAGGACCTTGGCCCACTTCTCAGTCTCACCCCTCACCATGGTCTCTCTCAGGCCCCAGCGAAGGCCTGTCAAAGTAGTGGAAATTTCCCAAAGCTGTCAGGAGCTTCTGTAGGCTGAGTCTATCTGTGCACTTCCCTCTCCCCAGACACCGCCTCTAACTTCTCCATCTGGTCCATTCCTACTCATCACACAAGACTCAGATGTCCCCACTTCTGGGTGCCTCTCTCAACGCGGCCCAAGGCCTTCTTCTCCTCTTGATGAGTACACCAGCCTCCTGTCCAAGCTTTTGGTCTCCAACTTCCCCACCCCAAGCCCCCATGGAGCAGCCAGCAGCCATTCTAAAACACAAATCTTGTCATGTCACTTCCTGCTCAAAATAACCAATGGAATAATTCATCAATCAATGCTTCAGGGCCTGACCTTGACCTCAGGAAGACATCCAAAGCTTTCAGCTAGAACTCCAGGCTTGGTCCCCCATGTCTCCAGCCTCAGCTCTCCTGTCTTCTGATCATTCTGCACACTCATGTGCATAAACCCCTCCACTCCTGGTCACTTCCCTCTCTCATGCCTTCTCCTCTGTGCTCATCCTACTATTTCTCATGCTCATTCCCATCTTCTTCATCTGGGGAATTCATGTCTCATCTTTCAGATCTTCTCTGATTTAACCTTTTCTGGGAAGTCTCTTCTTTGGTGGCCTCAGGAATCTTCCTCTTCTTCCCTTCTCTCTAGGACCATTGCTTTTATGACTATTTATTGGCTTGTCTGCTTGCTCTGGGAGTTTCCTATACCTGACACGTGTGTCCTCAGAAGTGCTAGCATGGAACAGTTATGTAGGATTTATTAACTGAATGGGTGGGTGGATGAATGAACGAATGAATGAATGAACGGCAAATGAATCCATTCTTGAACCATCACTTGGCTATCCTCACAACTTCTGTTTCCCAGGGTAAACCCATTTTAACTCAAAAGGGGAAGCAGAGGAAGGGACTTCTCTGAAAAGGAGAAAGAAAATCAATAAAAATGTAAATCTGGTTGAGAAAAAGCTGTCCCTGCTGCCTGTGGGGAGAGATAAGACTGGGTCTGCTGAGTCCTGGCTGACAGTGGAGGAGAGATTAGGGGATGAGCAGAGCTGCAGCCAGGCCAGGGCAAAGAATGTGTCTCCCTTTCATGCCCCACCACCCGCTGTCTTCCCCATGCCACCCCCAGCCCCATGCCGTACGTGCTTATGAAATTCTTCCAGGGACAGGGGCCATATTAGGGAAGAGGGTTGCTTCCCAGACCCCCTCGGTCCCTGGGAAGCCTTCAGGCCTTTACCTGTTCTCCACCACCCCACAGCTGCTTCCAGCCCAGTCTCTTAGTATTAAGGCGAAGGATGTCCTAAAGGAACTCTGCAGAGCCTTGTGGACTCATCCCCTACTCCAGCTTTCTGGACTCTACACCCTACTCCAATGATTGGAAACTACAACTCCCAGCAGTACCTGGGAGAGAACTGCGAGGACCCTAGGGCAGAGCTAGCAGGAATTCTGGGATATTTGGGGGATAAATAGGGCACAATTGCATCTCTCTCCCTCTCTCTTGCTCGGGAAATAGCTTTCCTGACCTCTGTGACTTGGTGTTTTCAGTCAGTCAAGCGGGTAAGGTATTCCAGTTACTTTGTATTCCTCTCTCTTTCCCTGGGTTGTTTCCTTTCCCCTTTTGTAAATAAACCCGTTATTGACCCTTTTGTGTGTACCTGCAGTATAACTGAATTTTGAGCGCACGGGTGAGGCCCCACAGACAGGCGGCCCAGTCCACTCTGGGCTACCCTGTAACATTAGCAGCAACACCTGGAGTCTCCTCGCACCACCATCCTGGGAAGTTGTAAGCACAAGGACTTGTCTCCAACTCAGAGGTTTCCTGGGAAACAAATGCTTGAGTACCAAGATCTCACCCCAGGCCCAGAGAGGGGCTCCACACTGTTCTGTCATTACATGCATCAGTTGGACACCTTGGCCACCACCAATTAAGATTGTTGTTTCCTGTTCCTTCCCTGTCCAACTTCCCTTATGTCCCAAAGTCCTTTTGTGTGGTTGATCTGGCTAAGAGGGAGCTAAGTTGGGGAAAGGTTTAATTTGACTTCATTTGGCTGTATTTATATGGTTTTCCATCAACTCTATGTATAAATAAGTCTCTGCTGGCCACTACTATGTAAGGAACGGCTTCCAGGAATCTGCCTACCTAGCATCCAACTCATCCAGCGATGTGACATCGAGGTGTCTTATCCAGAGGTCGTCTTGCGATATACATGTGTTTTATGTTGCCTGGCGTGAAACTGGCCTTTGAAAAATACTGCCCATTGCGTAATGTATTGTGGAGGCATGTGAAAGAATTAGTTAATAAAAAAGTGTTATACTTTGAAAAAATTGCCTGATGTATTTGTTTTGGTTTTTATTCTCATGTAGGTAGATATTCACTTTCTTAATTTTGTGTTCCACTTCTTAAAGAGAATCCCTCAAATTGTCTAATCTGACAAAAGCTGCACCCCGCTCAGCACCACCACTGCTTCTCTGAGTGATCTCAGGCATTTGTTTTCTCCTCTGTAAGATGTGAGTGGCGGTTTGGACAGGTGAGGCCTCAAGAAGCTCATGATCTTATTCCATTTCTGAAGCCATCACTAAAGGAAGTAGCCCAGCCAAATGAAAATTAGACCAGACTATACAGATAAGGAAAAATGTAATCTACAAGAAATGATGGTAAGCAATGCATCCAGTAAAACTTAAATCTAAATAACTGGAAATAATGCGGTTGTTGCAAACTCTAATACAGTTTATAAGAAAGAATTTTTGTAATAGAAGAGACATCATGCAAAAACAAATTTAATAATAAGCTGCATCTATAATTTCAGATTATTTCCACAAAACCTGGGAAACAGGAGGGAAGGAGAAAGAATATAAACATAGTAACAGCTTCATCTTTTCAGAGAAGCCTTTTAAATTCTTGGCATTGATACATGCAGACTCAGATATTTGTTAAACATTTAAAGGTATCAACCAGAAGAATAAAAAACAGAAACTAGAACTTCTGTACCTCCTCTCTCTCTCAGATGGGATAGCTGCCCCAGCCCAGACCCTAGGAGCTGTTCAGAAGGCAAAAACAAAACAAAACAAACAAACAAAACAAGAGATATGCTCCCCTCCCCCCAGCTGCTCCCTGGGCCCCCGGGCCCAGAATGGACACATAGAACTGGGACAGGGCTGATGGCTTCTGGGTAGTGTCAGGTAGAGCATGTGAAGGCCACAGAGTGGCCAGGAACCTCCCTCAGAGCCTGACACGATTATCCCAGCATTGCAGACCCTAAAAAGAACTGGTCCTTACCAACCCAGAAATCACAGAGCAATTTTTTTAAAATAATATTATTTAAGTAAAGTTTTCTTGTATTTTCTTTTTATTTATGCATACAGAACTGGGGTGCAGGCCTGAGGTGCAGGGGCAGTGTGAGGATTCACCAGAGAGAGAGCGGGGAGCAGAACAGGCAGATCAATGAAGTACACTGCTGAGGGGAGCAGCGGGCAGGTCAGGAGAGGTCTGCCGCGCCATGTGGGTCACCTCCGGGGCTGGGGATCGAACTCATGCTGAAGTGGCTTTAGCTTCTTAGTGCTTTGTGTGCTTTAACCCACTGTGCCACCAGGGAGGGCCCACAGAGCCACCTTTTACTCCCCAAAACATAGTGTCACAAAAACAGACCTTATCTCCATAGCTCCAAGTGACACAGATTGGAGCACTGAAATACTGAAATGAGGGTTTTAGTCACAAAAGTCACAGGGAGGGCCCCCTCTCTCTGGTGAATCCTCTCACTGCCCCTACACCTCTGGCCTGTACCCCAGTTCTGTATGCATAAATAAATAAATCTTTAAAAAAGTCACAGGGAAATCTTGGCAATGTGAGGGTACCAGTGAGGGTATGTGCTAAGTATGCCTGGCCTTTGAAACTAGAAAATGGGTACTGTGTCTCCCTCCCTGACCCCCTAAAGCAGTGAGTAGGCTTTGCTATAACCATGGCTCTGAGAACTGGGATTTCCTGAGTCCTGGGAGTGAGTCTCTGCCCCAACTCACATCAACCCTCAGGAGGGCCCTGCTGGTCCTGGATGTCCTGAGAGTGGGAGACCATCTCCCTTCTCCCCCTGGTTTTCCCCTTAGTACCCAGCTCCACCTCTGCCTGCAGGGGGCGCCAAATGGCCACTTTTGACAGAGGCTGTGTGGGCCCCACCTCCAGGCCTAATGGGCATCAGGGAGCGTTGTGAGTCCATCTGACCATACAGAGGGTCACAGCTGGAGAGAGCCTGAAGCTAGCAAGTCTATTTCCACTGGAAGAGGGGGTGAGTGGAGTTCAAGACGGTGCCCTGAGTGAGCTATAGAGTGGAGCTAGAGCTGATGTGCAGAGTAGCCTGGCTGCTGTTGTCCACGTCCTCACTCCAGGACACCTGGGGGAAAGACACACTGTCCTGCCATGCGGGAAATTCTGGTTTTAGATCAGTCTGGCTCGGAGGGGAAGAGGGTAGATACTCGCTTTAGAAGCCATGGACATAGCAAACGCTTAAGGTTGTTTGTTTTGAATTTCCTTGGTTCAGATGAGCAAATAAAGGCCCAGAGAGGCCCAGCGACTTGCCTGAATTTACCCAACAAGCTAGCAGAAGAACTGGAACTGGAACACAGGACTCCCCAAACCCAGTCCTGGGCCGAGGGCCAGAGTCAGTCCTTGCCATGGCTGCCAGTCTCGGCCAGGGTGGGGCCCCGGGACAGCTCACACTTTGGATTCATCTGGCTTCTGTTCAGGCCCAGATATTAATGACTGCTTCTGCAGGCCAGGCTTGGACATGGTCACCTTGGTCCCCTCCTCTTTGTCTGTCTGCCTCAGAATGACCAAAATCAAGGCAAAGCAGGCTAGGCAGCCGATCTTGAAGAAGAACTGGAGGCCAATAAACCTGGAGAAAGAACAAGGATTCTTGAACTTCAGCCCTCACTGTCAGGACTCGATGTCCATGGGCTGGTGGCAGGTGGTCTCAGCGGTGATCACCATTGTGTGTTGAGATCTTGGAGACAATGGACCTTGGAGACAATGTCCTCACTCACCAAGGCTGATTCTCTATCTGGGACCTTGAAGTGGCAACTCCCTGATCTCAGTCTGGCTAAGAACCCAGGCTCCGGGGCCAGCAAACTCTGACTTCAGGCTCCTATGTGTCCCCCACTGTGCAGAGGGGAGGGTTGAGTCCCAGAAAAGGTAGGGCACTTGGTCAGGAAGACAGACTGGGCCTTCGACCTTGACCTCCTGTGTCGGACAGGGCCTTCCTACTGCACCCCAAATCCCTGCCACTCCCATACTGGACAGCTGCGCCTGCTCTCCCAGGCTCCTCCACGCCAACACATCTTCCTGCAGAGTCTAGAGCTGACAGTGTGAATTCAAGGCTGGACCTAGCCAGAGTGGGCTGTGCGGCCTTGGCCACTAGGCCAAGTCTCTCCTCATCTGTGAGAGGGAAAGGTGCGGTCTAACAGGAGCGGTGGCCCATAGATAACACTGGGTATAGCATCCAGCGCCTGCTAGGTGTTGTTAGTAGACCGCCCCTCCCTGCTGGTGTCCTGCCTGGGATCCTGAGAATATTTCCAGCACCCTTTCCACACCAACTGGCAGCCCGCCCCCGCCCCATCCCCAGTCTTACCGGTTTCGGAGCAGGTCATGGTCATAATAGCGGCAGACGGCCCGACGCCCACAGCTCTGGGCCCAGTGCAAGCAGGTGGTATCAATGGCACTGCCATGGATCACAGGGCTGGGCATCCAGGCTGATCAGGGAAGGGGAGATCAGGGGACAGCGGGCCCTCCATCCCTGCACCTCCTTACTCCCCACAATACACCCCCCACCAGGGACTCTGAACCACCCGGACCTCCTGAGCCCCTCTTTACCCCAGTGTCAGATGCTGCCTCCCTGACTCTGTCCGGCTGCTGCACACCCCCCTCCAGGACACCTGGGTCAAGTTTGTTGCTCCATGGGTCTGGAGACCCAAAGGTGGGACCTGGGTCCACTGCTCCCTGCACCCCCAGCCCGTGTGCTGTGGGGATCTGAACCAGTAGCCCAAGCAGGTTCTTTACCCAAGACTCTCAGGAGCATGAACTGGATCCCCACAGCCAGAGTCTTGTCTTCTTTCTTCACTTCCCTAGCAAGCAGGGACACAGCAGCATGAGGGCCGAGAGGCTTCCAGCCCACGGGGTTCTGATGACCCCTTCTCTCCCAAAACCCTGCGCCGCTCTTCCCCCAGCCTGAAATCCTATGGGTTGGGGCATAGACTTTGTACCCCATTTTCCTCCAACCCACAGAGCCTGCTCCCATGTCGTCCCAGGCACACGCACTGACCATCAGGGCTCCTCCATTAAATTCCCTGCGTTTGTGGTCACAGATGCCTCCGTCCCCCCCACCCCGCCCGCCTTTCCCCAGCCACACCAAATTCTCCTCTTCCTACAATTGGCAAACTGGGAGCTGAGTTCCTCACAGACCAGATCCTCCCTGACCTACCTTTATCCCCATGGCAACCTGAGATGCCGTTTTCTCCCCATCTTACAGATAACCTCCCAGGCTCTGCAGTGCCGCTGCGCTTCACGCGGGAGTCAGCCCTGCAAGGCCTGATGGCGTGCAGGTTCCAGGCTCGTCATCCGGCCCTTGACCCCCACACTCCCATGAGGCAAGTGCACAGTTAGTCCCATTGCGCAGACAGGAAGACCCATGCTTAGGCAGGCTGAGCCTTCCTCGGATCTTTAGGCTGCTGGGCGTCAGAACAGGATTTGGGTGATGTGACCTATATGAGCTCCTCGTCAGGCTGCCTGCTGGGACATCTGATTCCTCTGGCCCTTCTGTGGGCCTCCTGGTCTATGGATGGGCTTTTTGGAAAGTAGGTAGGGAATGAAAGAATCCCAGCAGAAAATCCCAGAAATCGGCATTTTCCCCAAGGGCCCCTTATCCTAGCTCCTCCCCCAGGAGGTGCTGACTTTGGCTTCAGGGGACAATTGTCAGGCCTAGCAGGCACTCCCCAGTCCTGGCCAGAAAGCTCTTGCCCAGAGAGGCGGAGCTCTGCACAGCCTGGGTGATAGCCAGCACTTGAGGAGTGAGTGGATTTGAAGTGACAGACTTCTCAGCCACGCTCTGATGCCTTTGCTTTCTGAACACACTCTCTGTGCCCCCAGCTGCCCAACTGCAGGTGGGTGGGGCTGGGAGTCAGTTCCACCTCCATCTCCTCCAAATTCTGACAGGGAGGCCAGGGCGGCACCTTTGGGGTGGCTGACCCTCTGCTCAGGCTAGAGGGGTCAGTACTTCCCTATCCGGCTCTTGCTAGGAGTCCTGAACTGCCCTGACCTCGGTTTTCTTATCAGTGAAATGAGGAGAAAACATCTCAAGGGGTGGCTGGGGGCAATGAAGGCAGGACAGGGAGGACCTGTTCTATGGCAGGGAACAGGACCCCTGAGTGGGCGTCACCCTCCAGCTTCCTCCTGCAGGGTCCTGCCCTGCCTGTGGTTAGGGCCCTGCGTCTCCCCCAGCTGGGCCTTCCGGGCTTCACCTTAGGATGAGCATGAAGGACGGGGTGTGAGTGATGCTGGCCAGGGCCGCGCTCAGGCTGACCAGCAGCATGAAGGGCAGCACCAGGTGGCTGCAGGCTGAGTCGCAGGATCCACCTGCCACTGGGACATCCTCGGCCACACAGCTGCAGTTGGTGTAGACAACCTGGGAGGGGCGGGGGAGAAGAGCCCTCAGGATCCTCCAAGGACAAGCAGCCGGGTGAGGGCCTGAGGCCCCAGAAGCCCAGGAGAGAGAGGGTGTAAAGCAGCTGGGCCCGAGCTGCCTGGACGCTGGACTCAGGGCGGCAGGCGCATCCGGGAGGAGGCCAGAAACAGGCCGTCTGAGCACAACTGGACTGAGCCCAGGCCGAGGATGTGGGGAGAGGAATGAGAAGAGAAAAGGGAGGGCGCCCAGGAGAGCGTCCCCAACACACACCACACACACTTAGATTCACACTACTCACAGACCTCACACATTCACTCACCACACTAACATCCACCCACTACATACACGCACACCACACTCTTCATTCACTCATACACACTCTCACCACACACGCACACCACACACAACTCACACACACTCATATGCTACATATGCAACTCACTACACACATACCACACACTCACACCACACATATTCATACCACACACACATACCACATTCATACTCACCACACACATGCTCATATATACGCTCACATGCCACACATACTCAGTCTACACACAATCACGTGCCATACACACACTCACCACACACACTCACACATACAATTGCATGCCACACACACGACTCACCACACATACCACACACACTCACACACATACACTCGCATGCCACACATACAACTCACCACACACACATTCACACATACACTCACATGCCATACACACACACCACACACTCACATTCACTTGTGTGCCTCACACACACACACACTCACATACCACACACTCACGTGCATACACTCACATGTCATACACACACTCACATACCACACACACACCACACACTCACGTAGATACACTCGAATGCCCCATGCACGCACTCAACACACACACTCTTACTTTTTCCTGTTGATATCAGAATGTTCCCACTTCCTGACCTTTTGTGTAAGGAATCAAAGCTACAAAGAGTGCTTTGGAAAGGAAACAGAATGTCCAGCTCAGTGTCCCACTTTACTGAGGTCATTTGGGGTGCCAGGCTCATGAGTGGACTCTCAAGGAGAGACATGAGTACAGGACGGGGAGATGCACAGAGCACTTAGGCGGCCTAGGCCAGCAGGCAGGAGGCAAGGAAGGCATCATCAAAGAGGGGTGCTGGATTTGGGTTTTGAGGAGTGAATAGGAGTTCTCCAGGAGGAAAACTGCCATAAGTAGAGGGAGCAGCTAATGAAAGAACCCAGCAAATCTTTCCTTCTACCTAGAACAGACAATATGTATGTCGGTGGGGTGGGGAGGTGAAGGGGTAAGGATGGGCGGTGAGATCTTGCTGAGATCCAGAAAAGTGGACATGAAAGAAGAATCTGGACTTTTGTTTCCAAAATTATGGTGGACCGGGTGCCCTCCTAATCATCCTGCTCAAAATGCTGGATAAAGTTTTGAAAATATTGATTTTCCTGACTCTATCTATGGATCCGAAAGTCAAGTAAAACATGCATTAGTTCTAAGTGAGGTCAGAACCTGGACAGGAGAGCAGAGTCCTGGAACCAGCCCTGGCCCTAAGGTGTTCGCAGAAACTTGTACAAGGGAGCATAAGCTTTCTGACATGTGTGGGGCTGCAGGGCAGAGGACAAGGCCAGCCCTCCTCCTGCCACTCTAAAAGGTCTAATAGGAGCTTCCTCAGAGAAGTGGGATCATAAAATATGAGGAAAAGTTGGCCCCTATTCAAACTGCAAGGACCTGTCCCTGGCTGGCCCAGGTACGTTTGCCGACTGCATGCCCACCCCCTGCTTGGCCTGGAGAGCCTTGCTGGAGCAAGGATTCTTTCAGAAGTGCTGCAGATGGCCAGTGCTCTCAGGCCTCGGCACAGGAGCAAAGCAAAGCCCGAAGCTCAGCCTTTTCTCCTTCTCGCCTTAGACCCGAGTTTCTCCATCTGTGCACCAAAGGCCCTGCAGCCTCCCAGGGAGACAGGAGTTTATGGAGGGGTTTCATCAGTTCTCAGGGAGGCCAGGCTGGTTCTGGGCTGCCAGGACTCTCTGGGTCTCTGGCCTCTGGCGCTGTCAGCCTCAAGCATTTCTCAGTGGGAAAAAGGTTGGGAAGCCCCGAGGTAGATGCTGGGAGTCTTGGGGAGATTTCAGCATGGGAGAGACAGACCTACGGCTGAAGGCTGCTATGGTCACAGCAGGATGGAGGAAGTCGGGGTGCCAGGTGGACAGGCCCAATGAAGAGAGTGGTTGGGCAGTGGAGGAGGAGGAGGAGGAGGAGGAGAAGGAAGGTGGAAAGGAGGGTTTTGAGAGAAGGTTGAGTGGTGGAATGAGGGAGGTGGGGGAGAGAGAGCTCACGCTCTCTGTGGGGGAGGAGGGGCGGTGTAGGGGTGGGGTGGGGGGTCCAGAGTGAGATCTCCATTTTCTGCAAAGCTCCTATGCCTTTGTGTGACCTGCTGGGCACAAAGCATTTCACCCAGCAAAAAAGCAGCTTTGGGATCTTCAACTACTGGTTGAGCGGCCCACTAGGCTGAAGGACAGGTAAGGGACAGGTAAGGAGAGAAATGCTCCAAGGCAAGGTTACTGGAAAGGCTGTCTCCTGGCCCTGATCCTTTTTTGAGGCAGAGGGTGGCTGGGACGATGAGAAGCCTAGAGGGCTGGCTTTGCAGACCTTTCCTTCACACGCATCTGGTCCCACGGCAGGAAGTCCTTCTGAGTGGCTTCAGTCTCGCCAGCTGCCTGGCTCTCACTCTGCAGGGACCCAGCCTCAGCCCTGGGCTCTAGACCCCTCAGCTGTCACTTCTGCCAGTTTCCCCTGTGACTCGCCCATTCACAAATGGCTACTGAGCGCAAGCATGTGGACCTCGGGCACCACTTGCTCAGTGGGCTGAGGAGGCGGACTTGCTGAGAGGATGCCAAGCTGGACGTGCAGGCCCTGTCACGCCAACACAACCTCTGAGGAGGCTGAGCTGGGAAGCCAGGACTCTTGGTTCTAGTCCCAGCTCAGGCTCTAAGACTTTGGGTAACACCCGCTCCCTTCCTGAGCCTCCATTTCCATCTGGATTGTTAAAAATGAGACAAGAGGCCCTCCCTGGTGGCACAGCAGGTCAAAGCACAGCACTGAGAAGCTAAAGCCACTTCGCATGAGTTCGATCCCCGCCTGCCTCAGGGGTGACACATGGTGCGGCAGACCTCTCCGGACCTGCCCCCTGCTCCTCTCAGCAGTGTGCTTCGTCACTGTTCTGCTCCCACTCTGTCTCTGGTGAATCCTCTCACCGCCCCTGCACCTCTGGCCTGTGCCCCAGTTCTGTATGCATAAGTAAATAAATCTTTAAAAAAAAGAGAGACAAGAGGCCCAAAGTGGTGTCCTTTGTACTAGGGTTCAAGTGAGCAAACCCAGACTTAATGCCTAAGCTAATTCTTGAGTCAATCTTCTCAGAAGTGAATCCTTTACCAGGGCAAGCTGGGCTGTCCTGATGGTTCTGTCTGATCCCCAGAGAAAAGGGGCCCTCCTGAAATGGCACTGTTCCTTTTCCTTTTCCCCCTTCAGCCTATGAAAACCTTCCTTTTTGTCTGACCCTTCGGGACGCCTGTCTGCTTGCTAGGTAGGATGCTGTCTGACATGTGAGTTATTTAGCACAGCCATTTTGACCCTTCAGTAGACTCAGCTGGATTTTATTTTTCAAGCGTGTAATACTCACAACAAGAGTGTATATTACTGAGTGCTTAAAACTTTCGTGGGCACTGCGCTAAGTGCTTTCCGCACATTCTGTCAGGTGGCATGGACTTGTTTCCCTTGCTGTTTCCTGAATTTATCCAGGTAAAGTGTCTAATATTTATCAGGCATGTAATACTATCACCCCCATTTGACAGACCAGGAAACAGGCCCAGTGGAAGTCAATTGCACAAGGTAACAGAACCGGTAAGAGGCAGAACAGGAATTTGAACTTGGCCTTAACACTCTGGGGCCCACATCCACAGGAATTCGCTGTCCCTTGGGGTTCTGCTTCAGCTGCCAGGGCCTGGAAACCTCTGAAAGTGGTCTCTGGGAAATCTAACCGGGTCAAGACAGTGAGTGCTAAGAGACCCAAAAGGCTGGGGGTGTGGGTATTTGAAATGCAAACCGTTTACACAGCCCAGAGGGTTCCTGACTGGCTTATGAAATCCCACTGTGGGGGGTGCTTCACTCTGCCCCAGCCCTGGGCCCTAGGTCTCCCCTGGAGGACCATGGGCTTAGATGGACAGAGCCATGTGACAGCAGGGTTCTGTATGACAGAGGGGGATGGAGAGAAGGAGGTGCGGTCACAACAATGCCTGATAACATACCCCCACATACAAGGGGGCCTGTCTGGCCTCAGTGGCCTTTCTAAGATTCACTTCAAAAAGGCTCTGCTTCTGCTTCTGCTGCCCTCTTTTCCCACAGAGAGTTCCATGACAGCAGGGTCCTTTGGCTCTGGGCCCTCAGACCCCAGCACAGGGTCTAGCATAGCAGAGATATGCTATGAAAGTTTGTTGACTGACTAAATGACTGATTAAGTGGACTCATTGTGCTAGTGTCCACTGTTATCCCTGTCTCTTGGACTGAACTCTGCCCATTTTCCTCCACACTGTGGCACTAGGTGTGATCAAATGCAGAGCTGACCCTGGCACTAACCTACTTAAAACCCAGCCATGGCTCCCCATTGCTTCCCTGCTAAAGTTGCCACTTGGTCTGGCATTCAAAGCCTTCCTTCTTGGGTCTTGCTTTCCCACCATGAACACTTATGTTTCTGTTTCAGCAAGTTCGTTGCAGTTTTCTGAAGCACTGTGTGTGTGTGTGTGTGTGTGTGTGTGTGTGTGTGTGGTGCATGCTCTTGCTTCCAGACTCTGCCTCTGTAGTGCCCTGCTCTTTCCTAGTTTGCCTGCTCACCCTTGAAGATCCAAATGTCATATCCTGTGAAGTTTTCTCAGGTCCTACTAAGTGGGATGTTTCTCCTCCCACCCTCGAATGTATTTGTGGGGACCACTTGTCCTGCCTATCAGCACCCCCGAGATTCCCAGCTCTGGTTCAACTCTGTGCTATGGCTTCAGGCGCAGGGCTAGGCCCAGGCTGTCCATGAGAGCTTATTGAGAGGTTAATGTTCTATAGCCAATAATAGAAAGAGACAGAAGGCAGGAAGGAAAGTAGAGGGAGGGAGGGAAGGAGAGTCAGAGTCAGAGAGTGAGAATGTTAGAGGTGAGAGCCGCTCAGACCCTCAAACAGGGGAGGGCTAAGGCCATAGAGATAGAGTGCCACGTCCCCTCCCGCGAGGCCTAAGTGAGAAATCCTTAGAGCGTGGCACGGTCAAGGTACCGGACACATGGGAGGAACACGTGGCCCTCCAGGAATAAAGGAATGGCTGATTCTCGAATGGTCACTGTAACTTTTTGATTTGTTGACACACAATGCACTGAACTAAAGAAATGTTATGAATACTGTGCTTCGTTTCTAATGATACTCTTGATAAGAATGTAACTTCCTCTATTCTCGATACTGATTTACTTCTGAGAAACTCCTTTATAATCTTTAATTCTATTATACCCTCCCACCCTCGAATGTATTTGTGGGGACCACTTGTCCTGCCTATCAGCACCCCTGAGATTCCCAGCTCTGGTTCAACTCTGTGCTATGGCTTCAGGCGCAGGGCTAGGCCCAGGCTGTCCATGAGAGCTTATTGAGAGGTGGTTTGAGAGCTTATACCAGGTGGTTTGTGAAATGAATGGAGAGAGTAATTAAAAGGATTAGAAAGGCATAGGGGATAGATAGGGCATTTGTTTAGCAGCACTGAACCTTGAATACACAGTGGTTTCCTAGGGACCCAAGTTGGTTTCGGGCCCCTGGCAACATCTCGGAAACAAAAAGAAATTAATGTATTACCTGTCATACTTCTATTGAAAGAATCATCGTATCCCTATATTTGCTTGCCAAGAAAAATTGTATAAATGCTCTGCACTCTTAAAAATAAATCACATTCAGATATGCACTCCTAGAAGTCGTGTCTGTCTGTCACTCAGCCTCATCCTTGTCCACCCTGTGCCAGAATTGCCGTCCCTGAAACTTGTCTCCTGCTCCTGCTGCGCTGGTCCACGGCAATAGAGTGGAGGCCTGAGGTGGGACCTACCTGGCTTTTGTCCACAGGCTCCTGGGCCACCCGGCTCCTGCAGCCTGCATAGCAGGGCGTGAGGTACTCCACGTGGTTGTTGAGGTCACAGACCGGGTTAAAGTCATCTGATGAACAGGGGCAGGATTCCATGCAACCTGGAAAGAGCTCCAGGCCTGGCTGTGGCCTGGGGAAAGAAGACCTGCGGGGTTAACCTGGCTCTCCCTCCCTCGGGCCACAAACAGGGGTCACCTCATCCTTCTGCCCAGCTCTCCACCAGTGAGCAATGAGCAGAGATTTCTGTTCCACACAGAGGTGTTTCACTGTCAGGGCTGCCGCAGGGTGGTGAGCCCCTGACACGGGAGGTATGTGAGTGGGGAGACTGGCTGGGCGCTGCAGGGGCTGGCCCAGCGCCTTCTGAGATCCTTTCTGGCCTCCACATCCTATGACTCTCTGAACCACTTCTGCAAACAGTTCTGCTCCCCAAAGCTCCTTGTTGGGGACTGCAGGATAAATTCCTCCCAGAATTCAGCCTCAGCTGCACAAAACCTCTGTCTCGAAGACTTGGATCACTTGCTTTCCTTAGAAAAAGACATTCAACCTGTGCTCAGGGGACCTGATCAGGAGACCTGACTAGCTGTGGGACCTTCGGTGTGTTCCTGCCTCTCTGGCCTCCAGCTTCTCTGCGCCATTTTGCGCCCTCCTTGGCCCTCCTGTGGCCTCACAACCTTGCTGTTCACGCGCCATGCTCTGTTCACAGCATCCAGGGCAGACTGGAGTCCTTTGCTTCCCACTGCGGGCTTGTCCCTGTGTCCCAGGAACGCCCCACTCTAGAGGGGCCAGGGCGAGGTGGGGCAAACGGCAGCAGGATGTCAGAAGAGAGGCTGGGCCTGAGGGGGCAGAGGTGACCCCTGAGACTCAGAGTATGACCTGGCTTCATAGTAGGAGGGAGCGCAACAAACCTCTCAGGAGCTAAGGGCCAACCTACAAGGAGGAGGCCCGAGGGGAAGGCCAAAGTCCTGGCTCTTGGTGAATGAGGGCAGAGGCTGGCAGAGGGATGGGTTTGGAGAGCTTAGTGGAACCTGTACTCCTTGGAGAAGAGAATTAGCAGGGGCTGGAGAGTGGGTAGGGGGGCAGGAGGCAATATGGAGAAGGCGGGAGCCAGAGTGGGGAGGTGGGCAGGGGCCAGGGCAAGTCTACTCCCTTTCTAAGGTGGGGGTCTCCATCCTCCACCAGCACAGTCCCTCTGCCCCCAGGCCCGACAGCACGGTGTCTGCTTCCTGCAGGGAGGAGAACAGTGCAAGCCCTGAGCAGAAGGCTCCTGGTGGTGGTGGTGGTGGGAGGGGGGGTGCCAGGTGGCCTGGCCGTGCTTCGGCACTTCTCGGAGCTGCCCTTGCCAGTAGCTAGAGGGCTGAGTGGGATAGAGCAGGTGGGAGGGGGCCTCTTCGGAACCCTTTGCTCCCATGGGGTGACCCTGGCTCTGGCCTGTGCCCCTCTCAGATGGGCCACCCTGGAGACAATGTCACTGCTTTGAGCCCCACTGTCTTCATCTGTAAAATGGGGATAATGCCAGGATCCACCTGCCAGCTCCCAGAAAGGTGAATACATGGAGGTGTACATGGCGCTGGGCTCACGGGGGACCCTGTTTTCTCCAGCTGTCGTGGTGCTGAAGAATGAGGAATTCTCCTCAATTCTTAGCTGGTCCTAAAAGCCTTCTTCAGCGAATTAGAACCCAGCGCTCTGTGGCCACTTTGCAAGAATACGGGTGAGGACACCCTGTGTGAGGCAGCAGATGAAAGGAGATGAAAGAGAACTAGGGCGTGGAAGCAGGAAGATTTTCCTTCCATTTGCTTTGTAAAAGCTGTGCTCAAATCCCTCCTTGTTACTCTAAGTCATTTCAAGGCTGGTTCCCTCCTCAGATAAGGCCTCCACAGGGGCATGGTGGGAGCCTCCCTGCGGTGACCAGAGCAGGACTGTAGCCAGCAGTCGCCCACCGGGGAAGAGACCAACAAACTGAGCAGTCTGGGCCCTGAGCTAAGGCCCCTACTCTGGCGCCACAGACACACAGGTGTCGGAAGCTGGCACCTGGTGGGGAAAGAGGTGGCCAGGGTAAGAGAGGAATGTAGAAAGTTGGGGGATTCTGGCTGGCAGCATGTTGAGCTAGCCTACATCTGAAGCAGTTCCCAGAAAACATCAAGTCATTCTGGAAGGGGCAGGAATGTAGCTTCCAACATCCTCTCCAAGACAGCTGCTAGGGAAACAGTGTATTTGGTGGGAAAGGGGGCTGATGCCTCAGAGACTTTCCTCCTCAACAGTGGAGGCAGATACTGTTAAAGACTTGGAAAAAGAACTCTGGAATTTTAGGGTCACGGCACAATAGAATTTTAACTTCCAGGCTCTAAATCCAAGCGTCTCCAAGCTGCCCTGGCTAGCCTTCCTGGGCCTTAGGTCCTCTCTGCAGCGTCCCTGACAGGGCACCCCCCAGCCCCTCCTCACAGCCGCCCCCCCACCCCGCCCCCATGCTCCCTAGGGAGGGAAATTGTGCTCCCTTCTGAGCTGGTTCCTCTGCTTGAGAGCAAAGCTGCCCCTCAGATGGAGCTGGGTCCAGCACAGGGCTCAGCAGGCCTCTAGAGACCCCATCCATGAAAGTGCTGCAGCCTTCACCCCACTTAGCTTCAACCCCAACCTGAGCTGCCCAGCCCCGTCTAGTGGTGTCTGACATCTTCACCGGAACCTTCCTTAGGAATTCTCACAGCTCACAATGGAGTCAAGTAAGGAGAGGAGACAGGGCTTGGAGGAGGTGAAATTTGAGGGAGGGAGGGAGGTAGCCAGGGACCAATCCCCTCCCTTCATGCTCATCCCTACTCACCCAGTCTGGGGGGTGATGCCTGCGATCTGGTGTGTTGGACAGCCCATGAAGAAGAGGGGCAGGCTGAGAAGAAGGCACAACAGCGCCCCCAGCAGGCAGAGGAGGGTACAATGCTTGGAACTCAGGTTGAGGCGCTTGGCCAGGACGCCCCCCACCAAAATGCCCAAGATGGACAATGGGATGGTGAGGCAGCCGATGAGCAGGTTGGCGTAGGACGCTGTGACGGAAAACTGGCGCTCCAGGAACTTGGGCAAGAAGGTGGCCATTCCAGCCACCATCGATGACGTGCACACCTGGGACAGGACCACCAGCAGGAAGATGGGGTGGCGCAGAGTCCGCAGGAGCACCTTGGGGAACACTGTTGAGTGGGGAGAAGGTCAAGCTGGCAGGCCAACCACGCCATTCACTTCTGTCCCATCCTGTGCTGTGCGGTTTAAACTCTTCTGTTCTCCCCCTTCCATCCATCCCACCTTGGTCCATCTAATTCTGTTGCATTCCATTCTGTCCCACTACCCTTGACCCTTTTTCATTTAAATCGAATCCATTTCTTTCCTTTCCATTGAGTGAAACTGCTTTTCTTTCCGCTGCATTTCTTTCCATTCAGTTCTATTCAGAACTCAATTCCATGTACATGCCATCGTATGGGATTCTATTTCATTCATCCCATCTCACCTCATTTCTTCTATCTGTCGTATTCACCACCACCCCCCTTTTTTTCTCAGCTTTTTCTAAATCAACCCAGGCTTCCGTCTTCCCAGTGTGGGACAGCCTCCCCATCCTGATCTCCCTCTCCTTTCTTTGTGTCTCCCCCATAACATTTTTTTACCTAACACACTGCATGTTTTACCCATTTGGACACTGTATTGCTCCCCCACGTCTCCCCAAAATATAAGCTTCTAAAAATCAGGGATTTTTGTCTTTCGTGTTAATTGCTAAAACTCCAGAGCCCAGGGTATAGTAGACACCCAGAAAGTATTTACAGAATGAATGAAGGATGAATGAATGGATTATCATGTGATCAGATATCAAAATATTGAGACAGAATCTGACCTCCAGGATAAGCGAGACCTGAGTGGGCTGGGCAGCGGCCTGGGGGTCAGCCAAGAGGAGGAACCTGAAGAGCAGGAGCACTGGGAGGCAGACTGGAAAGGAAAAGGAACCCCTCAGGGCACAACAGAGGCCAAAGCATAAACGTGACTGCTCTGGGGTTGACAACGTCTCCAAACTTCTGCTTACTCTGAAAAGTGTGGCTCGTTGACAGGTTTCCCTCGTAAATCTCAAAAATAACCCTAAAAATAAAGGGTAAGTCTCAGCCCTGGGGTGAAGGACTTCACTGGCAGCAGCAGCCAAGGTGTGTCCAAGAATGTTGTCACATGCACGACCCTCTGTCCACTAACAAGAGGAAGCGATGCTCCTGGCTGCAGGTGAGACTGGAGTTAGACACAAGGTCTAGGGGCGAGGGGGCAAAGGCCTTTCTGGGAAGAGGCATCAGAGGAGCAAACCATTTGCTACCCAGGGGTGGAGGGAGAGATGGCTGGGGTTGCTATGGGCTGGGCAGGCGCCCTTTTGTTCCTGTAGCAGTAAGGCCTATGTCATGGGAGATTTCTGTTTGCCTTCCGAGCATGCCTAAGATAACTGGCTCCCCAGTTCCCTGGACTAGGTCAGAAGTTGTTTTCCTTAGAAGCCAGAAAATGTCCAGGCAGGGTGGGAGGGAGCTGTGGCTTTGGGACTTCCCTCCTTCTAGTCCCAGGTCTGTCTCTTGTCTCCAGGCCGTCGCTACACATGCCACACTTCAGCCAGCATCTGAACTGGGGAGGTGTGATGCTGGTCTTCACCCCAGGCGCCAGCCTCCTTCCTTCCATGAGCTGGTCCAAGCTAACAGGTGCCCTCGTCGTGCAGGTGGGCTCAGGATGTGGCAGGGACCCACCCGAGTGCACCTAGGGAGGCCAGGACAAGGCCTGGAATTGCCTGGAGTGTCTTGGCTCCTGAGCCCACTACTCTGGGTTTTTGTGCCTCACTCCAGAGGGCTCCGTCTCCACCCCTTCTCCTGTGCTAGTCACGGTCACGGCGGTGGACTTTGCTTCTGTCCCCCTTTCAGCATGTCTCTAGAACCAATGGAAAATTTCTGGAGGTCAGGGATATGCCGTTCACTTAGGAAAGGTGACCTGAAGGGACTCTCCAGCTCAGAGGCCGCTGAGCATAATGTCGCTGCCATCAGACAAGTCAGGGCCTCTCGAGACCCAGAGACTAAGTCTCCCTCATCAGGTGGGGTCTTCCTGCACCTCAGAGGCCAGGTGACCTTCAGATGGGACACTTGCCCTCTCAGTTTGGGAACTCATGCTTCTTCCCATTTGTCATGCAGCTTCCACTTCCAGCTCAATGACAATGTCTCCCTCATCAGACAGGGCCCTCCCTGAGAACAGAGACTGGATCTCCCCCCATCAAATACCACCTCCCGCCCAGCTCAGAGACTACGTTGCCTTCAGATAAGGGCTTTCCCTGGCTCAGGGACTCTTCCAGCGGACAAACCATGGCTCCTCCTCGCTCTGACCCCCTCGTATCCCAGGTAGTCAAGGCTAAGCCTCAGGGTCATGTGGCCCTTCGCAGCTCAGCAGAAAGCCCTCAGGACCAGTGGCCAGTCCCGAGGGCTTTGTTCTCCTCTAGGCTCATATAGAAGCTAAAATCACCAGAGACAGTCTGGTCTAGGACACCCGCTCCAGGATCCCATTTCCAGAGGGCCTCACTTCCCTCTGGGCAAGAGCCAAAGCCATGATTAATAAACTCTCCCATGGAGCAGTGTGCAGGGTGTTCCAACAGAAGGGTGAACTCAGGTTAGGGTCTCTAGGCCCAGCCCCTTGGAGTTCAAATCCACTTACCCTGTTCCTGGGGTTACTTGAGAACTGGGGGAGAGGGTTGTGTGGTGGAAGAGGGGCTTGGATTCCTGGTATCCTAACATCAAGTTTTAGGAAGCTGTTCTCCCAAACTGGGCCTAGTTAACTTCCTGTTGCAAAAGTCCTCAGTAGGGTGAAGGGGGTCGTGGGAAGGTGTCAAGCAAACCCTTTGGTTATCACTCTCCTAACAGAATAATATTAGCAGGGCAGGACTGGTAACTGAAATAATAATTGTGCCTTATATAAGTAAGGTTTTTAAAAAAATAGTTTATAAAGGCTTTCCATTCATCATCTCACTCTATTCTCCTAATAGTCCTTGAGAGAAGCAGAACAAGGATTATTGACCCAATCTTTCAGATGAGGATTCGGGAAGGAAAGTAACTTCTATATGGCTGTACGCTAGTCAATGCAGAGCTCCATGCCAGGCCTTTGATTTGTTGTTCAGGGTCCTATAAAATCTGGCTCCCAGCAGATTTTGCTCTCTCAAAGCTCATGGGATCCAGGTCTTTAGCAGGACAACCTGGCTGCCACATGAGCTCTGGATACCGACCAGAGTGACATGGATCTTAGGCTTTTGAATCGAACCCTCACTGTAAGATAGGAGAGCTGAGGCCCAAAGAGGAGCAGGGACTCAGGACAAGACCAACCTTCTGGCCTTGGGCCCAAGGCTCTCTCCACCCAGGCCACAGTCTAGGACATTAATAAATATTTACTGAGAGCCTTCTGTTTGCACGCTCAGTGGCAGCAGTAGAGAAGAAGGGTTATAGATGAGCCAGCACAGGCCCCGTCTTCAAAAGCTCACTGAGGGGAGGGCTGGACAAGTATTTGGTATAGATCTGAGCTGCTATAGTGAGAGCTTCAAGGAGGAGGAGAGATGGCACTTGAATTTGGCCTATAGGGATAAGGAAGATTTTGCTGGTAGCAACAGAAAATTATGTTCCAGGCAGGGGGGATCATATGAACAAAGACAGGGAGAGTGTGTGGTGCCCAGGAGGGTCCTGGGGTGTGAGAGACAGTGGAGAAAGGCAGGAAGAGGTGGTGCCCCATGCCATACCACCCACTAGTCTGGTCTGAACTCACTTACCTTTGATGAACTGGATCACAGTCAGGTCTGGCTCCATCTGGGCGAAACCATCTTGCTTCTGTGGGGATTCCCGAGGGCTCTGCTGGGAGGGAGTGTCCTCAGCCTGAGACACACAACCAAGCACCATCAGTTGGCTGCCAGACATTCAGCTTAGGGATGGACTCTCATCTCATCCCTACACAGACCAACAGTATTGCAACTGCTCTTGGCCTTAGGGATACTTACCAAGTGGTTTTAAAAGAATGAATGAAATTCCAATGGATGAACTTTGTGCTCAGTATCGTTAACATTACTGTGAAAATGACCATTACCACTACCAATATCATTATTTCTGTCACCTTAACTCTCACCATCCTTCATATCGCCACTGTTAGGAACACTGGCCGGTATTGCCAATGCTTTTTTATGTTATCACTATCAGCAAAATCATCATCCTTATCACTGTTTCCTCACCCTTTAGAATAAACAGCATTCTAATAAGGATCATTATCAACCTCAGAGCTCTCTGGTGACCTAGGGGCTAAGTCTCAGCATTAGCACCGCTGTGTCATAAGTTCGATCCCCAGCCAGGGAGGTGACCCACATGGCACAGCAGACCTCTCCTGTCTCATCCTTACAGTGCATTTCAGTAGATCCACCAATTCTGCTCCCCACTCTGTCTCTGGTGAAGCCTTTCCCCCCCCCTCCAACCCCAACACACACACCTCTGGTCTATACCTCAGTTCTATGCAAGGGGAAAAAAAATCACTGATCTCTCAATCAATGTCTCTAACTTCATAATTATCCTGGCCCAGGTCACCTTGTATATTAGTTTCTTGTCCATAAATATAACCTAGATGAGATCAGAGACACACTTTTATGTTTCCCTGAAGATAAATTTTTTTCTGCAGACTTCTGTGCTGTAGATAAGGCATGTTGGACAGGTTGATGGCAAGGAATGGAGACTGACAGGACCAGCAATACACCAGGGGCAGTGACACTTCTGAAGACCCTTCCCACACCAAACATTAGGTAACTTCACCTTGCTGTCCCCTCAGGGAGACAGTGTATTTGGAGGTGCTAGTTCTACCGACTCCTTGTTTATCACAAGAAAATAAGCACATGCCTTTGTGCACCTCGTCTTGACAGTGTCTTTTTCTTTTTTAAGATTTATTTATTTATTCATACAGAACTGGGGTACAGACCAGAGATGCGGAGGGTGAGAGGATTCACCAGGGACAGAGTGGGGAGCAGAACAGGCAGATCAACACAGTACACTGCTGAGGGGAGCAGCGGGCGGGTCAGGAGAGGTCTGCCACACCATGTGGATCTCCCCCGGGGCAGGCGGGGATCGAACTCATGCAGAAGTGGCTTTAGCTTCTCAGTGCGGTGCTTTAAGCCGCTGCGCCACCAGGGAGGGCCCTTGACAGTGTCTTTTACTTGGTCCAGACTCCCGCCGGAGAACGTAGCCCCTGAGTTGGCTTACACTACCACTGGCTTCCTCCACCAGTGTCACCAGCCTCTCTCAGAGGTTACCCCCAGGCCACCATCTTGGTACTCTATCACTTGTGGCTGAGTTACTAGGAGAGACACCAAGGGTAGGAGCACCCAGTGAGCTGTGCCTTCCAGGAGGCTGGTCCAGTTAGGAGCTATAAATGGATCCGGCTGTGGCACAGGCTGTGACTTCAAGGGAGCAGGTTCAGGGGAGGCAAGGGGCGACGGACCCCTCTCCCCGTTGTGGAGGGTCAGGCCTCCCACTCAGAGGGTTGTTCAGCTCTGTAGTCACACTGTGAGGAAGCTGTGCACACCAGCATACCTCCTTTTATTTGGCTGTACCTGGGGGAAGGCGGCCTAGTGCAACAGAGACGTGTTTTATCCCCAGAAAGAGGAAGACTTGAGGGGACATACCTATAGGTCTTTGAGAGTCAAAAAGAAGGAAATTATCAGCCCTGTGACTAATGCTTAACTCATACAAACCTCAGAGCAACTATCTCAAGTAGGTATCATTCTGATCTTATTACACAGGGCCTGACGTGAACACAGAGAAATGAAGCAGCTTGCCCAGTACACACATGTGTGAACCCAGAGAGCTTGACTCCAGGGTCCATACGCACTTAGCAGGCTCATCCTGGGGAAGGAGGAAGGGTGTTCCACTTTCTTCAGAGGTAATATATAACACTTGCACGTGGTACTACTGATACCGTGATCAAAGGCCATCTTTTTTCCTGCCCCACCAGTAAGAATTCCTAATTCTTTTATTTACCCTTGTTAAATAGCCTTTCTTCCTTGAACAATCTTATCTTCTTTCATTCTGAGAAGAAGAGAATGTTCCTCAGAAGATAGTAAGGAAATTGTTCAATGGGGTGCCCACCTGAATATCCCCAGAAATCTCCAGATGGCTGCACCAAAATGACATGCAGGCCCATCTCCCTTTTTACTCCTTTGCATAAATACCCCTGCACCCTACCAAAGAGGAGGACCGTGGCCCTTCAGACAGGAATCTGCTGTCCTCCTCAGTTTGTTGACAATTTAAATTGCTGTCCTTCTCCACAAATTCTGTTTCTTTTTATTATCTGAGGGAAACCGAGACCAGCATTCAATACTATTACTGTGCACATTTCTTAGAAAAGCAAACAGAGACTTGGAGAAGTTGCAGCTGGCACCAGATTATTCAAATATCAGTGATCAGAGGGGAATGATTTTTTTTTTAAAGATTTATTTATTTATTCGTACAAAACTGGGGTACAGGCCAGAGATGCGGAGGGTGAGAGAATTCACCAGAGACAGAGTGGGGTGCAGAACAGGCAGATTGACGAAGTACACTGCTGAGGGGAGCAGCGGGCGGGCCAGGAGAGGTCTGCCACGCCATGTGGTCACCTCCGGGGCAGGTGGGGATCGAACTCATGTGGAAGTAGCTTTTGATTCTTAGTACAGTGCTTTATAGTACAGTGCTTTAACCCACTGCGCCACCAGGGAGGGTCCCAGAGGGGAATGATTTTACCACATCTTTCTATGCAAACTAAGGCCAGTATCAGCAGCCACAAATTCCCTGGAGGAGGGCTGAAGCTCACTCTCAGAGCAAGACTGCCCTGGGAGGAAGTGGGGGCTCCTGAGGTGTGTAAGCAGAGGCCTGCTTCCTGCTGGCCTGGGGTGCTGCATTCGGTGAGTGAGGACCAGCGGAATTGGCTTCGTCCCAATTCTGATCTGGATTCTCTGGTTCTGCCTCTTGCCTACCCAGAGAGCCTCTGAGAGGTCCTTACAGGTCTCACCTCTGGTTGGTATCTGAAGGATATTTTTCTTTCCTTACCCATCTCTTTTTTTTTTTTTTTTTTTTTGAAGGGGCAGAACCTCATTGAGGCAAATTCTGCATATCTCCACATTTCAGAACATATGCTACCACCTCAGGGGTACTGGGTTTCCAAGCCTCACCCTGACAAAAAAAATTCATTCAAACATCAATGCATGTGTGTTTGCCTTCTGGACTTCTTGCTTTTTCTCTCTTTTTTATGCTGGCAGGCAGCAGGCTCTGGGTTTCTGGCTTCGGGGGGCGTTTGAGGCAGGGTAGAAAGCAATTGCAAGACTTTCCCTCCTGGCTTTTGTCTTCAAAGCTTGTGTTCATGAGAAGACTACACAAGGTATTGTGGGGGGGATGAGGAGAGAGGGAGGCTCTGAGAACAAGGGGAAGGGGGTTTGGCATCCTCCTGTCCTGCAATTAAAAACTGGAGCAAGGCCCTCCCTGTTGGCGCAGTGGGTTAAAGCACGGCACTACAAAACTAAAGCCACTTCTGCATGAGTTCGATCCCCGCCCCGGAGGTGACCCACATGGTGCGGCAGACCTCTCCTGACCGCCCGCTGCTCCCCTTAGCAGTGTACTTCATCAGTCGGCCTGTTCTGCTCCCCACTCTGTCTCTGGTGAATCCTCTCACCGCCCCAGCACCTCTGGCAGGTACCCCAGTTCTGTATGCATAAATAAATAAATCTTTAAAAAAAGAAAAAAAACTGGGCTAGGAAGGAAGTGAGCAGTCTGTAGGACACGAGCTCACAGCTGTTGAGCCCAAGGAAACAGCTCACCTCCATGGGGCAGGCTGCAGGCTGACCTACGAGGTCAGCCCCCATGTCCACACCAAGCTCCTCTGCTCCACACATGGGTCAGGAGAGACTGACCCTGATGCATGGGTGGGCAGGGGACCTCCCCAGTGCCTGGGCATCCTTTAAAGCCTCAGGACCTTTGCTTCGCCTGGGTGGGGGCAATTCTGAGAAGGCTGAGGTTGAGTGACTTGCTGTTCCAGCAGGACGGGCATTCAGAGTAGAGGGAAATTGATTTTCAGAGAAAATGAAGCATATTTTACACATGCTGGAGTCTGAGTCAAACGTCGTTTGGTCTCTCCCCTGCTGGACTCTGAGCTCTGCAAGAGCAGAGATCTTGTTTACCTTGTTCTCTGTTGAAACTCTATGGCCTAGCACAGGGCCTGGGGTGAAATAATGGATATTAGATAAATATCTATGACAAGGACGAGGGTAGGAGATGGTTCCATCGGCAGTGGGTATCGCTAATAACAAGCTCTTGGAAGGAAAGTGAGACTATCACAGGAGGTGCTATCATGCCACAAGCGCTCTTAGATTGTACTGGCTCAGAGGGGGCAGAGGGGGCCCCCGAAGCCCTGGGCCCAGCAGAATGGAGACTCTGGGCATGCCAGGCTGCTGGCGGGTGGGCCAGTGGCTCTGGGTGCAGGAGGAGCCTGTTCTAGCTTCACGGCAGAGGAAGGAGACGTACATTTCACCTAGGAGCAGACAAGTTTCCAGGTTAGGCAGTTTGCTCAACTCACACATCTACAATTAATACCTGAGCTCCAGCTTGCCTGAGCAGAAAATTCCTGCTTTATTCACTAAGCTCTGGGCATCAGGGGCCAGGACATAGGACTGGAAGAACTAGGAGGCACCTGTGTGGCTTGAGGTGAAAGGACCTGAAATCCTGCCATTTGAGGCTTGTTTCCTGGGTGAGGCAACAGGAATCTATCACTCATTTACTCCTGAAAGCTGCACTGTGTGAGGCTGCAGGACGAGCCCCAGGGCCACTGTACACTGGGAATGTGGCCAGGCTAAACCAGGGTCGGCCATCATGGG